GAAACGCGTCCGATAGGGCGAGCCGATAGAGCCGCTAATCGCATTGTTCGAATTCACACGTCCCCGCAGTGTGCGGTACACACGGCTCCGCCGCGACATTATTACGAGTCTCACGATCGTGACACACCGCTGCTACGCTGCGCTACTACCCCGATCCGCTCATTACGTTTCATTTGTCCCCGGGCCCGTGAGCGCCATTTATGCACGCCAGGCATCATTAACCCTTTTAGCGACGGATGAGCAAGCTATCGATCGTTTCGCAACGCACACGCATATTCGTCGTGCACTCGGATTATGCGAGGGTAGCCGCCGCCGTGCGTGCGGTCGAACGCGCATCGAACGATCCCTGTTCGTTGTGTTCCCCGATCCGATTTCGTTCGAATTTTGGCTCGGTTTGGATCGAGGATCGAACGACAATTTCACGAAAGCAGCGAACGTGGGAAACACTCGAGTGCGTGAAATCATCGATCGAGTATACGATCCGCGCGGCAAATAATCGACAGTTGGACGACAGCGGACACATCACACAAGTTGTGTAACTTCACATGTTAATGATTTATTAACTTATTTTTCACATACAATAGTATTATGCGTGAACGATCAAACATTGTATAAACAAAATTTACAAAATAAAGTATAAGTCTTTACAGCTAAAAGCTACTAGTAGTAGTGGATCACATAGCTTCATACTTTTCCCCGGTCAGGCAAAAAATTGCCCATCCGAGGCTATTCCATTTTTTTTCCTTTTTTTTTTTTTCTTTTTGTTTGTTTGTTTTATTTTATGCTCTATCTCTCGTGTGTGTGTGTGTGTGTGTGTGTATATATATATATATTCATTTATATTTATATATATATATATATATTTATTTATACTTTGTATTTATATTTGCATTTATATTCATATTTATAATCATATTTATATTTTCCGTATTTATATCCGTATTTATATTCATATATTTATAGTCTTATTTATATATATATATATATATATAATATATATAATATAATATTTTATATATATATAAATATTATGCCAAATATATTAAATAAGCTAGCTTCCCTAGTAATTTCTTGTCCTAGCACGGAATTTTGGGAACGCGAAGGATGGGAATGGATGGGGATTGCAAAAATGATGGGGTGTCCATATAAAGGTGTGATAGGTGTACAATACGCACGTGTACAATATGCTTTCGTGGTGTGATGTGTGTTCACTTCTTTTCACAGTACAGACGTATATTACACTCGTTTAGATTCTCAACCGTTTCTTCTATCTTGTAAATATAAAATTATTATCTCTTATTGTATAATACCACTGACAAATGATATCGTAATATGTATAGCTATTATCTGCGTCAAATAGTCATGAGTACACACCAAGAAGTGCATTCGTCGCTGTCCTCTAATTTCTTCTTCTTTTTTTTTTTTTTTTTTTTTTTTTTTCTTTCTTTCACACGGTTAATTGTTGATCATCATTGGATCGTTTCGTTCCTACAAAGTTTCTCATTCTTTCGTCTTTCATTTTTATTTCGGTGCTTCTTAAAACTATCCTCGTTCCCCAAAATTTTCCATCGTTCCTTTTCTTTTTTTTTTTTTTTCTTTTTTTCTTTTTGGTTAATTTAAACTTTTGTTCTCACTCTATCCCTCACTCATCTCACTCTAGCAACACATCACGCGACAATGAAACAAAAGTCGCCTCGCACTCCTCCACTCTTCCTTCTCCTTTATCCTTCTTTAATTCTTTTTTCTTTTTTTTAGATCTCTCTCAAAACATAACAAGCGAACGAAACGCTCCGTCAAACATAACTACATCTTCCTTCTTTTTTTCTTTTATTTATTTTTTGATAAATAATAATAGCAATAAATATTTGCCAAAAAGGACTCGCGCCTCTCTCAGTCACACTTCGATAACTATCGGTATATAGTTCTCCAAAAAGGTTTGTGTCCCGCAGTTACTAGTCGCAGCGCTTGGCTAAACGCGTTAATTATTCTCTAGTCGCTGCTTTGTTTTCTTTTTCTTTTCTTTTTTTCTTTTTCTTTTTTTAATCGTACCCGTCTGTCCGTCGCAAGAAGGAAAAGAAGACGCGAGAAAAGACGATTAACGTAGGCCTCTGTTTCAATATTATTCGTACTCTCTCTCTCTCTCTTTCTCTCTCTTTCTCTCTCTCTCTCTCTCCGTTCTTATCGATTCGACGTTTGATTCGTATTCGAGAAAAAGCAACGTGTTCGACAAAATTTTCCAAAACATTTCACTTAAAAAAGAAAAAAAAAGGGGGGCGAAAGTGAGAAAGAATTCCGAAGAATGACAGTGTGTAAAAAAGAATAGAAAAGAACAGAAAAATGCACAACGAAGACAAACACAAAGATAGATAGATACATAAGCGTTTACACGTGTTTATTCATACATGTTTATTCTCGCCAGAGTTCGCTCCCCTACGGAAACAAATCTCCACTAGAAAACACAGAGACAATGGACAATGATTAATAAAAGGGCATCGGGCTTTAGCCAACAACTAAAATCAATCAAATACGAAAAAATTACACATGTATAATACAAAACGTGTGCTACGAGCTACGCGAGACTGCGTGTACACCGGAAATATCAACACGCTGTGTCGTGAAATAATATACAAAACGTGCGCGCGTGTGTGTGTATAAAATCGATTCAAAAAGTCGTGCGTAGATGAAACGATTCGCTGGAAAAAGAAAAGAAAAAAAAAAGAAGCAAAGAATCTCGTCTCTCACGTCGCTTTTTCCGCGAGCTCGCCGAGGCCCTCCGATGATCTCGTCATAAATATTAAATAAGTGCGCAGATCGACGGTTATCATACAGCGACAATTAAATGTCGACAAGGCGTATGTATAATTATGTACAGTTACGGAAAAATATACAAAGGACGTCGGCTCCTACGTGGTGTGTATACGTACTCTCGATCATAAAGACGTTTGATTCTTGCGTACATTACTGTTACTGAGGTAAGTCTTTACTGTTTTGCTTTATTCTTATTTCTTCTTCTTCTTCTTTTTTTTTTTTTTTTTGCATTTTGTATTTTTGTTAATAAATTCACTTCAAAGGAAAAGAAAAGAACGACCGCCCCCCCATTTTTCGGTCAGTGTTCGACTCGATCGAAATGTTGTCGAAACATTGTCAAAGGGGGGCCGTGAGACGAAATCACATTCCGTCGCACGAAGTAGTAAATCGAACGATAAAATCGAAAGGAAAGAGTGTCTTATTTTTAAACGGTCCCATGGTTGTGTAATAGCGATGATGCCAGCCGTTCGCACGATCCTCCCGCTAGATCCTTCCCACCTCTCTCGGCATTTGCCTCTCACCTATGAGCTCATGCGTGTCGATCGTTCGAATATATCGTCATTCGCGGCCGGTGATATGTCTTTCGCCTTTCACTGATCAGAGAAAAAAAAAAAGAAAAAAAAAAAAAAAAAGAAACAGAAATCTACAAATCTGAGATAATGCATCGTCTTGGTCTTCCTGAGGCTCTAAGTGTCTCTTTGTTGCTGCTTTTTTTTTTTTTTGTTGATTCGTCCCGTCAAAGGGAATATTTTTTTTTTTTTTTTTTTTTTGTCCCCCCAAAGGGAAAATTTTTTTTTTTTTTTTTTTTGGATTTGAACGTGTTCCGCGAGGAAAGGGCCCGGCGCAAGACCACGGTCAGCCTTGCCGCGAGCTTTTGATTTCGTTTGATGTACCGTTCGTTTAGTTTAGGAGGCGCGTGAACAACCGACTCAACTCGGAACAAAGGGAATACTGAACGACGAGGCTTGTCCCTCGATGGAAGAAAAGATAACCACCGGCGGTGTTTCTTCGTCGTTCGAGTTTCGCCGCGATTACTCGTTGCTACGCTCGAAACTCGTACGCGTTATACAGTGGTCCTTGCGTTTAGAATTCGTCCCGTTCACCAATTCGATCGACTCGATCTACCTGTACTAGAGAGATAAAACTAGCTTTCGTAAAGTTTAAGCTTGGTCGAACTCGCGCTCGTTCATCTCGTCGAACATTTTTTTTTTTTTTTTTTTCACTCGCTTCTTCAACCACTTGCGCTGGAACGACGTCGAGAAACGTTTTTCTCCCAAAATTGCAACAGCTTTCTCAGTTTCGAGTAATATTTCAATGTAATCCAGGCAAAACAAACGATATTATTTGATATCTACTACTTCCGAATAATTTCCTCTGTGAAATGAGAAAGAAAGCGACGAATCACTGTATTTACGGTTCGGTCACTCGTTATGGTCCGCGAACCAGTTGCCAGCGCAGATGGTTGAAGAAACCCGATGGATTATTGTTCGATTTACACCGTTCTTTCATTCTCTTCGCCAAAGACTCGACAATTGAACAATTTAGAAAGCGACTTGGTCCTCGGGGGGGGGGGGATTTATTTTATAGTTCGCTCGTGACAATGTCGTCACGCGTTGAAAGGTTTTCGCAAAACACCAGTTACGATAGAAAAATCTGCGAAACTCGCGAAACGAGACGTTTCGTGGATCGTGACGATCTCTCGGCCGGACATTAGCAACGAATAATCGCCGGCTGGATAGAGATTCGTTCGACTCGAGGATGTTCTTCTTCGAAAGTCGAAGTTTCGACAAGTTTCTCTTCGCGGGAAGAGTTCGCGCAGCTCCCCCTTCTCTTTTGATACTTGCATTTTCTTTATTGTCTGTCTGTTGCGTGTGTTCAGATCTATTGGAATCTTAACACGTTGCTCATCAAGTTGACGTGAAAATTGCCGAAAGCAATCGATCTTAGTAGCACGCTACTAGTGGAACTAACTCTGCGTATCACGATTTTCTTGCATACCAAAAATAAAGAGCTGACCTGACGTAGAAATCTGACGGACGACGCGATGGTCGTTTGTCGACGCACTGAGAGATTGAAGAACTATCTCCGATTGACGAAGCAACGTTTCCCTAGATCGATCAATATCTTTTCTTTTTCTCGTGGACAATGGCTCTTCGACCAGATACTCTCTCTCTCTCTCTCTCTCTCTCTCGATCAAATAAAATATCCATTTAATACTCGTACATCCTACTAACTCTTAAACATTCGCTCTGTATGGCTTTTGTACATATTATTTATGCGTACATGCTTTCAAAGGAACATTTTCTCGCGTCTCAGAGTTAAATTGTGCGCTGAACAACGCGGTACCATAGTTTTGGATTTTCGTGTTTCGATACAAAAATAAAGACACGCTAAAATTACACGCTGTCGTACTCGACTGAGATTTAAGAGAGAAGAAAAGAACAAAAAAAAGGGGGGGAAAGAACAGGAAAGAAGAAAGGGAAAAGAGAAAAAAAAATATGGTTGGACACGCACTCAGAGAGAACGTGAAAATGAAAAAGAGTGTATCTTTTTAAATTTTCTCGGCGTTCTACGCTTCTTCCATTGCGTTATCTTCCTCACTCTCTTTTCTTTTTTTTTTTTTGTCTTTTGGTTTTCGTTCTCTGTTTTCTAACTTCTAAGTAAAATTTACTTCAAGTTACTCGAAAGACACCCGATATTTTTTTTCTTTCTTTTTTCTTTCTCTCTCTTTTTGTTAAAAGTGGAAATTCAACGTGTGTCCCGTGATTAAAAAATCGGATAAACGACACTTCGCAGAGACCTCTTTTTTTTTTTCTCCCGTTTCATTAACTCGAATCGTTTCTTATGTACACGTCTAAAGAATACGCCTAATTAGAAAACGATTCACGCGGATCAAAAAACGTCGGCCGTGGTTAAAAAAGAGCTCTCGACGTGTTGCTTTAACTACATAACGCAACACGATGACCTCCCGGGTAAAACTTGGCTTGCTTCTCGTACATTCACTTGTCTGTATAGCCGTTTAAAAAAATGATGGACCGGGAACAATGACTTCTTTTCCTATAGTATACTGTGATGTTGATTCTTTCTCAAAAATATCGTTTAAAAACTACTTGTTCCTGTATCTCGAATGCAAGTGTACGTATGCATGCTCGCGCGAAAAAAAAAAAGAAAAAAAAAAGGAAAACGAAAAATCGACCGTGACGCGTGAGAGTGTGTTCGCCGTTTTAAAATGGAACGCTCCGATCGTAGGTTCTAACTGGTATTACGTTGCACGTATTTTACGCAAGTCTCGAAGATACAAATTGCCACTTACACTCGTATGTTACATTCGAAACAACGTCTCGAAAGTTCGAAAGTTGCAAGAATCGCTCGCGTTCGTTTACGCGGATTTTTATTATCTGCAGAGTGTATTATCTTTCGCGTTACAATTCGAGTTACACTCGTCTTTGCTAGCTGTAAGTCTGGTTTCAGTTCGACGACTCGAAAAGAAAAAAAGAAAAAAAAAAAAAAGAAAAAAGAAAAAGAAAGAAAGGTCTGCACAGTATTCTTTACAATCGATGCGCTTAGCTACGTAATACTTTTCAAACTCGTCGCGTCGTTTCAATAGTTCTCGAACGAAAGAAACTTTCCAGTATCACACCCGATGATCGTAATCACGTAAGTAATCACGCGTGTAACGATACAATCCGGACTCTTTCGTTCTAATAACGCCGATTATTACATTTTCTTTACAACTTCTCCCCCCTCCCACCTTTTCTTCGTGTTAATCCTGACCATCAAAGGAAAATATACACTCGACATTCAACAATTTCGCCGCCGGAAGCAAATTTCTCGAGTAAATATTCTTTTTTTCAAAAATATTCTTAACAAACGAAGGATCCAACAGGCTCTGGTTTCAGAATTAGACGATTAGAACAGCTAAACGATATTACAACGCGACAATGTTGTTCGTGGCAACGATTTGCTTCGCGTAACGCTTTGAACGCTTCACCTCGCACAGTAGGAAATTATGGTGTTTTGCCAGAACGTTGGACGCTCGCCCGCAGTAGCAAATCATTGCATCGCAAAGACAATAACGACAGAATTTATCCTATATCACGTCGAGGACCGACTTTCGATCGATAAAAATCTCTTCGTAACTTGATTACATAGTATCTCTCTCTCTCTCTCTACTTCTACTACAGATTCAGTCGCTTCAATCACATTCGATTGACTTCTCTCTCTCTCTCTCTCTCTCCGCTTTATCAACGTGATGCACCCACACAGTTTCTACAAACTTTCACGCCTTTCGTTATCGTCGACACTCACGTATGTATGTACGCATGTATGTATGTATGTATGTACAAGAAAAATAAACGTGCTCGCGCGTGTCGCAAGAAGAACGTCGATCGAATCGTTCGCGAATCTACGTTTTTCACCTACGTTTCTTTTTTTTGTTTTTCTTTTTTTTTTTTTTTTTTTTTTTTTTTTGATTCTATCAAAAGACAACCGTAATAATTTTCTTCTCTTTCGGATGCTTATGGATTCGTCGATTTTGTTGCTTTGTTCGTCAACAAACTGGACCGCGATATTGGTTTTCTTTTTTTTCTTTTTTTACTCTCTCTCCTGCTTGGAAAGAGCGATATATATGTATAATACTTACTTAGCGCTCCGTTACCTTCTAGAATCGAACAATTCTCGTTTACTACGACAGAGGAAGAATGTATGTACAATTTTCGTTTACTCTACAATCGATCTCGCTTTCGTTCAACAACCCCCCCATCCCCCGGTTTCTGCGTCGCGATTCTCATCATCACTGGAATCTCAATTCTCTCGTCTAGCGTTCTCGCTTACATCTCTCGCGTGCAACACGTGGCTCTCGTGACATTTTACACGATTCGAACGATTTTCACGCGACGATCGCAACGCAGAAAGGTAAAGCTTCTAGGAAAATCCGAATCTTGGTACTTGGAAAGTAAGACCACCGAAAAACCGGTGTGTCGATGTTGAAGAATGTAGAATTTCGTAGAATTTCGAGGCTCAGTTGGTTCTGTCGAGTACAAACAACGCGTTGCGTTAGCGAGAATACGAGTACAGAGAGTCAGTCGGCGAAAAGCAGCAAGTCGCCACTCGGTGACAATCGGTTTCTCATCGCAGAGCAGCGCAGCTCGTCGCCGTGAGTCGATCACCTACACTCGTTCTGCTCAGCCGCGACGTTGTTCAAGGAACCGACGGACTTCTTCGACGACCTTTTGCCCTCTTGCCTCGAAACGGCGCCGCTGCTCTCCGAGCCCTTGCCGCCACCTTGCGTCGTTCTGCAGGACCTGCTCCCGATGATCTTCGGCTCGTTGCTCCGCTCCGTCGCCTTGTCCAGCTCCGCCATCGCTTCCTGTATCGCGTTCTCCAGCTGCATGTTCAATTTACGACTTCTAGAAAAAGAAACCGGGCAAACGAGAGAATCGTGGGATTAGTCGTGGCATTCAGTCATGATCGCGATTCCAATCGGGGGAGGGAAGGGGCAAACGAGCAAAGCCACGATCGCGATCTACGATCAACGCGCTACGCAACTACGGGCACGCTACTTTGGCTGCTCTTTTTTGCATCGAGTCGATCGAGAATAAACGGGAGGAAATTTTACGCTGTTTGTTTCTCCAGTGTTCGATTAATCGGCGTATGGGGGGAAATGAAAAAAAAAAAGAAAAAAAAAGAGAATTTACTCGGACGTGTAATTGCTTTTTCCAATTGTCAATAAGAGCTTCGATCCAATCAACCAAATTTAAATATCCGGCTGTCGGATATCCTTTATAAGCGGATTTCGAACAACGAACGTTCGCGTTATTATTAAAACATTCTCAACCGTGAATCTGTCGCTTTTTTTTTTTTTTCATTCGATATTTCACGCGCATCATTGAACGCTGAATGCAACATCGAGAAGAATCTCATAAAAATTTATTCGTTATCTGTTGCGTAGCCGTATTGCGACAATAAATACTTTCTTTTTTTTTCTGTAAACGAGACACAGGAAGAATTTACTACTGAACAAGGGATACGTAAGTTATGTTTAAACAGCAATACTAAGCGAATATGAATAAAAATTGCGCATGTGTTTGCAGAGTGTGGGCTAAAGTACATCTAAAAAAAGTCGCGCAACTGCGATCAACGTGAAAACAGAGTGAAAAGCGAAATTCCTTCCAACTCGGGAGATTTTTTTCTATAGATACTTGTTGAAAGCATTCTACTGTTAAACGAGTAATAATCGCGAAATGAAAAATCGCAGCTACGCGAAAGGTTTTCCTATAATGAACAGAGACTCGATCATCGTTTTCGATTATTGGCTGTTGGTTTGCTAATAAATGCTTTACAACGTTGCTCCGTTGATACAAAACGCGCTGCAAACGTAATCAACGATAAAATAACGAACAGGAAACGCTAGTTGTCAATAACTACGTGCAGATCAACTGTGTAAAACATTTATCAATCTTTGTATATTTCGATCTATCTCGAATACCGGGTAGGACAAACGATAACAAAATACGAAACAGAATCGCGTTATTTATCTTCGATTATTAAAAAAAAAAAAAAAAAACATTCGCTCGCGTTACAAAAACACACGCGGTACGGGTTTGCAAAAGTAATGCACATAATATTTCATCGACAGGGAAATCCGATCCGCGCGAAAAGTGATTTATTACTTTTATTAATCCCTCAACCAGAAACGCTTTACTCGGATTGCTATGAATTTTTTTGCACGGCAACAGAGACTTATTTTTTTTTTGTTTTTTTTTTTACGGAAATTTTTCAATAACTACGAAAGTACAAAAAAAAAAAAAAAAAAAAAAAAATGAAAAAATTTATACATATACACATGAAGCGCAAGAATGTCGGTGGAATATCTAAAGAGAGATCATGCAACAACGAACATTTATCGAGAGAAAAACCTCGCGTCGTGTTGATCGTTGCGTAAATGGTAATCGTTCATCCCTCTGTCCTCCCCTCCCCCCTCCCCTCCCCCCTCCCCTCCCCTCCCCTCCCCACCCCGCAAAGAGAGAGAAAAAAAAGCAGAAAAAAATTGGACAAAACCCTCTAGATAAGTCTCTATGAAGTTGATGTCCGAACGACTGGTGATGGTGCGACTCACTTCCTAAACTTTTTTCGCGCACGGTGGTGCGCCTCGAGGCCTTCGGAGAGTGACTTGAGAGCCTTGACCTCGACCTGGCTGCGACCGCCCCCGCCCCCGTACCAACGGACCCAGACAGTCATGGTGCCCGGTGGGCCCAAAGACTCGACCTTGCCCGGCCACGCCGGACTTCCTCTTGCGGCGCCCCACACTAGCTCACCCACTTCCAGTTTCCTCTGGCTCCTCTCCTCCGACTTTGCCTCCGTTACTAAAGGGGTTTTGAAACAAGGTACGCTCGTTTTTTCTTTCACTTCATTTCATTTCAATTCATTTTCACTTGCATTATTCTCTCTCTCTCTCTCTCTCTCTCTCTCTCTCTCTCGCTGCACGCATTTCTCTTCTCACTCTCGCTCTAGTTCACGTTACCTCTCTTCGACTGAACGCGGTGGACCCGTGCGAACGATTCAAGACCAAACTCGTAATTTGGAAAAAGCGGGGCGAGCCTCGGGAGATCGTGAAGTTTTCAGCTATGAACGGTGTACTTTCGAGCACAACTGGTCGTTGACACAGTTACTAGTATATAATACTAGTATACAACACTAGTGTACAGTATAAAATACTAGTATATAGTATATAGTATAAAATACTAGTATATAGCATATAGTATAAAATACTAGTATATAGTATATAGTATAAAATACTAATATACAGCACTGGTATACAGTATAAAATACTAGTACACAACACTGGTATACAGTATAAAATACTAGTATAGAACACTGGTATACAGTATAAAATACTAGTTTAGAACACCGGTATACAGTATAAAATACTAGTGTACAACACTGGTATACAGTATAAAATACTAGTATATAACACCGGTATACAGTATAAAATACTAGTACACAAAACTGGTATATAGTATAAAATACTAGTATACAACACTGATATACAGTATGAAATATTAGTATACAACACTGGTATACAGTATAAAATACTAGTATACAACACTGGTATACAGTATAAAATACTAGTATACAACACTGGTATACAGTATAAAATACTAGTATATAACACTGGTATACAGTATAAAATACTAGTATACAACATTGATGTACAGTATAAAATACTAGTATACAGTATAAAATATAACTAGTATAGAACACTATTTTATAGTATAAAATACTAGTATACAATACTTTTCGAATTGCACAGTATTTATGTTCAATAATTAGAATGTCCTTTGCTTATGAGAAATTATCGCGAGCTAGGCGTTGCAAACATTTACTTCTTGAAATTTTATTATTTAGTTGTAATATTGTGTATATATATATATACACACACACACAATATAAAATACTAGTACACAATACTTTTTGAATTTCACAGTATATTTATCCTCAATAACCGGAATGTTCTTTGCTTACGAAAATTATATAATCTCTTATCGCGATTTAAAAGTTACAAATATTTACTTCTTGAAATTTTGTTGTATAGTTGTAATATATATATACACACAAAATACAAAATACTAATATAATATTGTATACAATATAAAATACTAGTATAATATTGTGTACAATATAAAATACTAGTACACAGTACTTTTCGAATTGCACAATATTTATCTTCAACAACCGGAATAAGAAACTGAGAAATTACATGACAATTACATAATTTGTAATTTGATCACTGAGAAATTACAATCTCTCACCGCGATCTAGAAATTACGAGATTATCTACTTCTTGAAATTTTGTACAGTTGTATAATTACGCTAATTCATACAAAAAAAAAAAAAAGAAACTCGTACTACTATTAAAGTATATGTATATTTAGCAATCACGATCCCACGAGTCTTCGTCTGGTTAAAGATTGTGTGTTAATTTCGATCAGTATGGTGCATGACGCATAACAGCGAAATGAGTATGCTCTCGGTGCGTGCCTTGCGAAAGTTACGAGATTACTCCGGGACACTTCCTAACTGTAATAACCACTACGTCTGTATCTGTAGGGCTGAACTTTACGTTTTGCATTGAGATGTGCTTCTTGCTCGCGCGTGTGCTCGTTAAAAAATGATTAGTAGCTTCATTCAAACTGGTGGTAGGCAAGATCAGTGGCAGAGAATGAGGTATGTATGTATATAACATATCGGAGTATGGTTTCTCGAGCACATGCAATATGACTTGACTCCATTTTCGACTCGGCGATTAAAAGCGAAAACGAAGTTTCCTTCGTACAGTTTTCCCCTCAAGAATAACACACACTTACGAGTGTGAAAAAAAATTCGACGATCAGATCGTTCCCCCGTTACTTTCACAGATGCGAATCGCTCGAATTCCAGACGTGTCGAATTTTCGAAAAACTTTTTGGAATTGCGCGATAAAGCCGAATTGCGGATTTAGCGTGACGAATTCCTGCTCAACGACACATACGAGTCCCGAGCTTTGTCTCTCGGCTTTCAAACGGAAACAACGTGATTCCCCCTCCCTCAAAAAAGATGTTGCACATGCGACGCGTGAGAAACGTGAGGATGATTATGTACAGGGGAAATGGGCCGCAACGAACGTAACAAAACCACGGCGAGCCACACCCGCGTGACGAGAAATGAACGTGTGTGACCGAAGCCCCTTGGCCCCATCAATTGGTACGTGACAATTACGTGGAGAATGAACATTAACAAACCTGACAGCCAATTAGTAGAAAAAAAAAAAAAAGAGAGAGAGACGCAGGAACGGAGCAAATCCTTCCAGCAATTATTATTTACAATTCAATTAATTCAACGTCATCGTCATTCAACTTTATCTTTTTTCCTTTTTTCTTTTCTTTTCTTTTTTTTTTCTTTTTTTTTTTTTTTTTATATCTATTCGAGAATTACAACGGGGCGAGAGAGTTACGGGAACGAGTAAAAAATATCTGGACAATTTGTTTCCCGCTGGGAGTAACTCGATTGTAAAGTTACAGAATGATCGTTTTACGAAACAGTTTTTACAGTTTATTTTTCTAGCAGATGCGAAAGTTGGATTTTTTGAGGCACATTACGTTATATAATATAATAAAGATATATAAATAAAATATATAATATAATAAAAATTATAAATATATAAATAATATAATAAATAAAATAATAATTTTATTATATATAATATATATAATATAATAAAATTATAATATATAAATAATATATAATTTTATTATATATAATATATATAATATAATAAAATATAATATGTGCGTTGTGAGTGAAATATTTTTTAAATTAACACTGTAACGAGACACGATTGTTATGATTATATTGGCGAAATTTACAGCATGAATAACTGTTTTAAGTATAATAAAAGTTAAAAAATTATATATAAAGTAAATATAAAAATTAATTATATAAATATATAAAAAATTGTGAAAATTAAAAATTGTTTATATACATATATAAATAAAATAAATATATATGTATATATATATATAAGTTAAAACTGAATATTCAAGTTACAATGCATTGCTATTACTATTTCAATACTTTTGTCTGCAATATACTATATATTTGCATTATTCTCAGAGCTTCTTCAAAATTCACATGTCATTGTGCTAATAAAATTTCGTACAACACACGTAGCATATTCATAAAAAGTTCCAACAAACGTTCGAATACTTTCATCGTGCGAGCAACTGCAATTCTAACCTCATCATACGATGGTCTCTCGCTATTAACAGATAATTAAAAGTGTCATTTTGAATATCAAGGAACTGTCATTATTAAAAGAAGCGTCATTGACATCATTCTTAATTATCTACTTTGTCACTTTTTAAAAGCCAACCAATTACAGTGAATCAGATCATTCAACCACTTGCGCTGGCAATTGATTGCGGACCATAACGAGTGACCAAATCGTACATAATAATTCGCCGTATATGATATCACTGGATAGAAATTATTGAGAAGTAACGAATTTATTATTTCTTTTGCCTATTTTGTTCTTCTTAAATATACTTAAAACTGAGAAAGTATTGCAATTTTAGGCCAAATATTCTCGACGTGCGTCATTCTAATGCAAGAGGTGAAATGGTAGGGCACTAAATATTGAAACATATAATTTTGTAAAAAGGAATTGTACAATGGTAAACTTGGCATCATTTTGAAGCTTGGGGCCTCTACTTTCGAAATTCATCATTCATGCTATTTCAGGATGTTTTTCCATTACGAGGGAAACATGCTATTCAGGATGTTTTCCATTCGTGCTATTTCAGGATGTTTTCCATTACGTCAAGATGAAGACACTTTTCTTCTCGAAAGTGCTGGAAATTATTATTGAAACATTCGTTTCATTACTAAATCTACAAGCTTGAATTTGAAAATTGAAATGACTGTTTACAACATACAATTTATCGAACTTTGAATGATAGATGTAAGCCTAATGTACAAAGTTCAATAAAATGACAAAGAAAACAAAGTCACTCAAATCCACTATAAATTCAGTCATAAAAAAAAAAAACTTTCCAATTTTTTCATATACCATTACAATTAACATTAGCCTGTTACGCGACGCAAAAGCATTTTAATAATAATACGACAAAACACGTTTCGAAAGTGGTGGCCTCGAGCTTTAAAACCAGCCCCTTTTACAAATTATTATTAAACAGTTTCATTATTCAGTGTTCGAATATTGATGGGAGTCGCTGTGAAAATTATACGCTTCGGCCACGTGGTATCATTGACGCGGCCTGTAATTTATCTGCGGTATTTCTCCCAATTTTTCACCAAACTTGATCTCGTAATATTCCCCTGTCCTGACAGCGGGTAAAAATGAGATTCATAAAACATTCCCAACGCGAAAATTCCGGCGCGAAAGCAAAATACGGACTGACACTTATGCGAGCGAGAACAGTACACATGTGCATCACTGTATTCATTGAAAACGTTGTAAAATATCACTGCTATTTATGCAAAGATTCAACCGCGTTACATCTTCTTTTTTTTTTCTGTCGCTATTCAGCCTTCAGGTGAAAAGTGGCAGCCTTCAAAGTGACACATGAAGATTCAAGTGCATATTTCTGCGGGGGAGGAGGGGGAGAGAGTTCGGATATTTTCGAAGGGAAATTACCTTTCGCTCACTTTCCTTTTTTTTTCTTTTTTTTTTTTTTTTTTTCTAACCGTGGAACGTAACGAATTTCTTTGGAATCGAAGGAAAAATTGCTCTCGAGTTTTAATAGCGAGCGTACCGGTTTCCTTCCGGCGGCGGAATAATTCCCTCCGCGACTCTCTTCCGACTCTCTCCCTCGAGCACTTGACCGAGAATGCAAATATTACAACGCATCTCGTAAACCCGATACTTCTCTTTGTAGCGGAAATAAATGTCCCTTTATTGCTCCAGTTTTTCCGCGGCGTTTTCCGCTCGAATGCTAGAATCTTATCGCCGTGCACGAGAAATATTCGACTAGAGAGATTACTATCGCTCTTACTGTAGAGTTAATTTGATGGAACGTCTGTCTTTCTCGTCTACCACGTTTCGGAGAAGGACAGAGAATCCTATGCAAATAGACACGC